TGGAATTGCTCGTTAACTGTAGCTTTTGTGAGCGTTTAAGAATTTCATGTTTTTTTTTTGCTCATTTTTGCTCGAACAGTTTGACATCAATTACTCCTGACCTAAGGTGACCTAAGACTTGAAATTTTGTGCGAAGGTTTCAAATTGATGCCCGGTAAGGTACTAAAAATTTGGCGGCGCTGCGCGCCGCCGTTTTTCACTTTTCAAGAAAACCCACATGGGGGCCAAAATGACCTCCAATCAGGGCGCGGATTAACCTCTCTCTTTAGAAAGGCGTTACTTAATGTTTGGCCGGGGTATACTTACTAGTTATTGATACCACTGATAGGTTGATACTACTGATTGGCATTTGCAAGGGCGCAGTCAAGTTGGGACCTCCCCCGCCCCTTACAGCCAAGGTAGGTGCGTATATTTTTTAGCAAAATTATTTTTTGGCAACCTTCCAAAATAAAGTGGCTGAAACCCGAGGAAAGAATAGGATTTGGGGGGTAGGTAAGGTTCTGCGGGCTCCATCCTAACGAAAAACCTAATGGTATTGCCGCCCACCCCCCTTTCAGATGCCCCTGGATCCGCCTTTGCCCCGAACTTTATTCCCCCTCTCAACTTTTCCTGTAAAAGTAACCCTGGGCTTATCCGTTGACCGCGAACCAAAATAAGGGCAATTTGTCTTTGACCTCGGAAAAGTGTCTGGTCACCTGACCTCTGGGCTCTGCTGGACCAAAAATAATCAAAGCGTAACATTGCGACCTTCACAACACTGCTGACGTCTTGTAACTGTATAGTCCAGGGGACGAGTTAGGTCCTCGTTTAGACCCCCTCGCCATCGCCGGCTTGAAAATTCATGGGCCCCAGCGGGCACTGGCTTACGCGCAGATTCACAGCATAGGCTTTTCGATTTCAGGATTCACATAAGCTTTTAAGAGCTTGTTTTGGAGCCCATATTTCAAAACTCAGTGGTGGAAAACACTTCAAATCAGCCTGACCTCACCTGACCCTAGCTTCTCCAAATGTGTCACGAGACAAATTTTGAAATAAATCCAAAATGCCACAGACTTCGTTTCCAAGAAGTTCTAATAGATTCGGACTGTGTTTTAAGTCCTTGACCCACCATTGACGGTCGACGAATGACCTGACCATAATATCAGATACCACCGGCTTCATGTTGTCTAGGCCAGCATCTTCATTTTTCGTGAAGCTCTTATACTCGGTCAGGAACCGAGAGTCCGATCGACCCCTCCCCCTCCCCTCCCCCCGGCCTCTAGGTACATTAGCTGCTGTAAATACGCCAATAAGGACAAGGGTGGACCCGAAGAAGAGAAAGTTGAATACTAAACACACTAATATGTCCAAAATAAGCTATGGATTTACTTGGGGTACTCCTAAGGATATTCGATGGGATGTCTTGGGATTTGAGACGAGAATCTTGGGAAATTCTGGTCGAGATCTTGGGATGGAGCAAAAATGTGGATGGCATCACTGTTTGCGGTATATAGAGAACTGTCCTAAATACATACAAGGCTTGCGAGTCTTAGGGCCAAGGCTCTTAGCTCATACACTGTGATTCCTATATACGGCCTTGCTGTGATTGACAGATCGGACCAAACATGGGAGAGCGTACAAAGCCCCAAAACACTGTCTGGTTGATAAGTCTTGATCAGTAGATGTGCACATGTGCTTTATATGAAAAGGGCTTAATTTTCGCACAAATAGAGACCTAATTTTTGGCGCAAATCACGCAGAAATTTTGGCGCAAAATCGCTTGTGCCAAATTTTGGCGCAAGATGGTCTCACGGGCGTCCTGCGTAGTGTATGGATGTTTTTCAGTCTGGCCCGTGTCCGGACAAAATTTCGTCTGACATTTTTTCGTCGGACAATTTTTCGTCCGCAGATTTTCGTCCGACTTTATTTCGTCTCGCATTTTTTCGTCTGTACATTTTTTCGTCTGTGCATTTTTTCGTCTGTACATTTTTTCGTCTGTGCATTTTTTCGTCCGGACATTTTTTCGTTCGTATATTTTTTCGTCTGTACATATTTTCGTCCGGACATTTTTTCGTTCAATAAATTTTACGTCTTTGCACCCAAGGTTGAGTGAAAACATACTACAATGCTATTCAACTGTGGAGGCAAATGACGTCATAATGATACTCGGGGCGAAGCAGTGCAGTGCCGAAGGCAATGCCTTAGGAGAGATTACAGGCAATGGTAAGTCAAATATTTTTAGGTTAAGTGGTTGTGTATCTGGCTTCAGGCCGAAGGCCTGAAGCCTGATGCATAACCACTTAACCTAAAAATATTTGACTTACCATTGCTTGCAATCTATTCATGCAAGTAACTTTTTCCTTATCCCCCGGTAGGCAAACATCAGTAGGTAAGGTTAGGTAAGGTTAGGTTAGGTTAGGTTAGGTTAGGTTAGGTTAGGTTAGGTTAGGTTACGTTAAAATTGTAGACGAAAAAATGTCCGGACGAAAAAACGCACAGACGAAAAAATATACGAACGAAAAAATGTCCGGACGAAAAAATGTACAGACGAAAAAATGTACAGACGAAAAAATGCACAGACGAAAAAATGTACAGACGAAAAAATGCGAGACGAAAAAAAGTCGGACGAAAATCTGCGGACGAAAAATTGTCCGACGAAAATCTGCTGGACGAAAAACCGTCATGGAATCGTCTGGCCTTTGAGGTCACTTTGGCTAGGCCAATTGTTAAGCAAAAGCCACTGATTTTGCCAATTACAACCTTTGTACAGATACCCCAGAATTTGACCTTTGACTTGATATTGACCCAAAAATTGACCTCAGTCAGTATTCAAGAGTGCTTTGGGAAGCGCTTATGGCGAGCTTTCAAACGCCGCCTCGTGGGGCTTGATACAACCTTTGCTTTGTTATAATTTGGGTCTCCAACAACTTTTTACGACTTTTGATGAAGAGATTCTAGAGCAACGAAAACACATTGTATGTGTTCCTTGACTATACGGATCAAATTTTATGCAACATGACCTTTTAAGGTCAAATATGTTTCATTCGACAAGTTTTGATGAGAGGATCACAATAGCCACAAGATTAATTCATTAATGTCATGTTATTACTGAAAAAAAAACGTAAAAGCGTAGCTTATAAGAATTTGTTTACTCTTGATTACCAGCGAAGCGAGGTCTTATGAATAAAGAGTATTCTTCCTCAATATAACAGAAAAATCTCAGCATGAGCGGCCCCGCTCGGACCGGCCTGTAACGCTTTTGAAAACTTATAACTTAGCAATCGCTGCACTGCACAGTGGGGATTTTTCCGATCTAGCGCCTATTAATTCAAAAAATATTTTTTGGATTTTTGTTTATTTTTTGTGTCAGTAGGGATAAGAAATGTCTGAATTTTTCATATATGGCATTGTTTTATCTGTATCTCCACAGCAAAACTAGGAAAAATGCGCCCAAAGTTCACACTCATGCGTGATTACTCAATGGGCTCAGCAAGGCCCGAAAGTATAGCTCAATTTCATTGTCCTGTCCTGTTGGTTTTAATCTTGCGAGGTCTTAAAGTTGCATATCGTCTGAAAGGCACCTTTATTAGGAATGGAATGGCAAACAGAAAGTATGCCACAACCTTACTAAGGTCACAAAAATGCCCTTTACAAAAAACCCTTACAGACACCATATTGAAGGAATGGTGTTCTAAATAAATGTAGGAAATCAACAATGTTCTCCACACTTTTCCACTCCGAAATATATCCTATCGAATTCGCCACTTTCTTCTGCATAAGACAACGCCTAGTTTGGCTGCCGAAACTTGCCTGAACACGGAATATTCACATTAGAGTATCTTAACACCCCACTCGAGGAGCGCTAGGGCAAACAGCACGATATAGGTATGTTCCGGACATAGGCGAATAATTTTACTTCGTGATTTATATGATGCATATTTTCTGAGACACATTCATTAGGAATAGGATGACAAGCGTAAATTATACATACCGTAACCTTATTAACCATCGCACTTGTGGGGAGGGGGAGGGGGAAGGGGTCGGATAAAACCCCATGGTTTTCCGCAAATTACTCGCGCAAAAAGCGGCCGATCGCGCCGAAACTTTCGGTACCCTCGAGATCATCAATTTTACATCTAACCTAAAAATTTCATGACTCTGACCCAACTGACCTTTGACCTGTGGCATATTTCTCGAGACCATGTTTGGCCGGAATCGCGATTCGGCGTATGCCAGCTCACATTATCCGCGGTTTCCAGTCTTTTTTTGGTTTTAAACGTTCAAATATGTGAAATGATGTTGGTGCCATGCATAATGGTGGGTGTCAAGGTCACGTGAAGGTCAAGTCAAGGTCATTGACCTTTTGATGACCTTGGTTCACTTTTTCGAGTTTTACTTGTTTTTAGGGTAGTTTTTGGTGCTGATTTCGATTTTAGCAGCCATTTGAATATTTACGAAGTAGTTCTAGTGCCTTCGTTCCATGTTACGAAGCTATCAGTAGTAGGTGACACTTCTATGGATGGCCGGCAGGACGCCTACTAATTGATCTAACCTGACCTGACCCGACCTGGGCTAAATGCATAAAGACATCGTCTGTGATCAAAACTAACATGAAATTCGTGATCAGCACCCCGAAATACCCCGTAACACCCTAACTTTGCGAAGTTTCAAGAGATCTCGATTTCCCAACTTTAGTTGGGTCTTAAACTGACTTGGAAAGTCAGCTTATGACCTTGGACTTTGAAATTGGATATATTCGGCCTAATTTCGTCATAGGCAGCACGCTTGACTTTTCCGCGAAGCTCTAGCTTGATCAGGGGCCAAACGGCTGAGCGGGGGGTCCAATTGAACCCCCTATACTATGTTGATTATGCACATTTACAGGTAAAATTCTCACCAGGACACACCAGCCAACATCTGTGCACAATCTGGCTACAATTCTACCTATGGTTTGCCCTCTACGAATAAATACGTGCTAGATCGGAAAAATCCCCACTGTGCACTGGGCCGATTGCGGTCTTTTTTGTTAGGTAGCTTCATCCCTTTTACCCCGTAATTGACTACTATTGATGCGTCTAGGTGACCGTGGTGGCACGTGCCACCTGAAAAGTCAAGGATGTTCAAGGTGTTTTGCTGAAGCAGCACTTTTGAGAGGCCTAAATCTTAGTAACCGCTGGTCCGCTGGGGTGATTGAGTTGAGGTCATTTTTTGTAGGGTAGTTGCGTCTCTTTTACCAGATATCGGATGCTCTCGATGCACGCGGATGACCCCCCATTGCACGTGCCAAATGTAAAATGTAGAGGTGTCAGGTTTGTTCGTGTCAAAATAACTCGGCACTTACTGGAGCGATTGTGTTGAAGCTTGGTAAGCATGTAGGTACAGGTACTCACCGGGCAATGCATATCCATGTCACGGTTGGGGTTCTACTGCACGTGCCCACGTGCAGTAGAACGTGGGAACGTGGGTTCGTTTCCAGATCTCGAAAACGGCTGGGCCGATTGCGCTCAAATTAGGTATACGGTTAGGGACCGGCGAGTGGCGTGCCGTGCAAAAGTCAGTGGGCCCAGTCGTTTGTCGCCCTAAAATGCATCTCACTGATGCTAAACCTTCTATTATATGTCAATGCTGAGAGGTTCCAGAAATAGCGTTAAAAGAGCTATCGAATGCGCTTTTCCGCGGCGCTAATCGCCACACTCTTGATTGTAAAGGTATGTATGTATGCATGCATACATACATACATGCATAATGCATATATACATGCATATATACATACATACATACATAGATAAAGCTAGCATTAATGCATCAATGCTCTCATTTGCTATGATTTCTTACTTTTACGTGCTCAAGTTGGCAGTGTGCCTTCTCATTTGCACTGAGTTCCCTATGGGCGCAAAATGACCTTGTAGTCGGCGCGCCCTTAAGCCCCAATAAACAAACAAACAAACTGAGTTCTTTATGCCGGCCTTGTTTTCCCACAGCTCGAGTACAGCGCCGCACTAGTCGGCCTGTAAGGAGCGTTCAGTGCGCCACCGGCGGCGTCTGAGGGCGGTGCTGCCCAGCCATGGCCGGTCTGCGCGCGCTGGCAGAGGGTCTCGGCCGGCGGCGGCCCGGCTCCAGGCCGCTGGCCACGGACTCACTGCGCGTCCGGCAGCAGTTCGAGCCGCCGCCGCCAGAGGCGCTGCAGTGGTTCCCCGGACACATGCGCGACGGCTGGCACCAGATGGAGGCCAAGCTGCGCGCCGTCGACGCCGTCATCGAGGTGCACGACGCGCGCGTGCCCCTCTCCGGACGGAACGCCCGCATCGCGCAGACGCTGGCGGCCCGGCCGCGCCTCCTGGTGCTCAACAAGGCGGACCTGATCTCGGCGGAGGCGCGCCGGCTGGTGCGCCGCCGGCTGGAGCGCGACTCGCCCTGCCCGGTGCTGTTCACCTGCTGCCGAGACCAGGCCGACGCCGGACTGCGCGGTGTGGCGCGCGCGCTCGCCGCCCTCATCGCCGGACAGGAGCGGGCCGCGCGCGCCGACGCCCGCGAGTTCAACTGCATGGTGGTGGGCGTGCCCAACGTCGGCAAGTCGTCGCTCATCAACGCGCTGCGCAGCGTGCACCTGCGGCGCGCGGCGGCCACGCCGGTGGGTGCGCGCGCCGGCGTCACCCGCTCTGTGCTGACCCGTATCAAGGTGTCGGCGCGGCCGCTGATCTACGTGCGCGACACGCCCGGCGTGCTGGAGCCGCGCCTGGAGGGCGCCGAGGCCGGCCTGCGGCTGGCGCTCTGCGCGGCCATGCAGGACCACCTGGTGGGGCCGCGCCTGCTCGCTGATTACCTGCTCTACTGGATGAACCGGCGCGCCAACCACACCTACGTGTCCTACATGGGCGTGACAGGGCCCACGGACGACGTAGACCGGCTGCTGGCCAGCAGCGCCGCGGCGCGCGGACGCTATGTGCGTGTGCGGGACGTGGCCGCCGGCGGTGTGCGGCAGATGCCGGACGTGCGCGAGGCGGCGCTGCACATGGTGCGCGGGTTCCGCAGCGGCGCCTTCGGCCAGCTGCTGCTCGACGATGACGTGTTGGAGGAGCGAGCGCCGCCGCCGGCCGGCTGACAGGGACGCGCCGCTCCGGTGATATGGTGCCTGCGTCATAATGACTCATGTGCAATCAGGTCAGGGTAGACTGGACATTGTCTAGCGCGAGTTTTGTACTGTACTTTTGTGATGTTGTTTATTGTGTATGCTTGTTCTGCTTGAAGTGAATCATGACTGTACATGGGCTTGGAACCCTGAAAATGTACTACAATATAACGTCACTTGCATTTTAGCGTGTTGCCTACGTGCGCTTTTGCAATGCAACTTGATATCACAAAACCACAGCGTAAACATGCCTGTTATCTCACAGCTACGGCTCTGTCGCACGCGGCAAAGCAAACATCACGCTATCTCGTTCCGCGATACGATGCGCTGTGGTAACGTTAGCCGCCGATTGGTGAATCGCTCGTTCGCCGCTCCCCCTATAGATGGCAGCACCAGGCGGAGCGGGCTGCCGTGCTGGGATCGATTGGCGCAACATGGCAGCGCCCTGAGAGCGGCGTCGGACGCCGGCCGACGGTCAGGGGCGCGAATCGTCCGCCGCCACCGCATGGTAGTGCGCCGGCCGTGCTCTCCGCCCGAGTGGGGACATGTGAGCGGCCTGCCGGCCGGCAGGGGACAGCGTCGAACCAGGTGGGTGCCGGGGACACCGCGGGGGACCGGGGGCGGGCCGGCCCAGTCGCCGGGGGACAGTGAAAGTCGGTAGCTGCCGGGGCTCCTGGGCTGAATGGTTGGCGGTTTTCAGCTGTTGTTGTGTGACGCTGATGGCAGTCTGTGGATTCAGGGCTAGTGTAACTGACGGGGGCCCGGTCGTACCGCACCGACTGTCCCCGGGGCAGGCTGTTTACCCGGTGTGCAAGGTATTGACCGGTCCGCTCAGCGTACACACCGCGCCGCTCCACCGCTGTGGGCCCTCAGCCGTACCTATCAGCGAGCGATGAGGGCTACGTGTCCACGCTGGGTCGGTCAGGATACCCATCCCCATAGCGCCGCTCCCCGGCTACCCTCCCCTCCCCATCATTGGCGTCCAGCTGGTGTGCGGTGCGAACCGCTCTCGTCAGTCGTCTCGTCGCCCGTCGGTCACGGCGAGTGACGCTACCCGTGGCCTCCTCGGGTCCCACTAGCTGATGGCTCCGAGGCGCCCAGGTAACATAGTCAAAGTTGCGACACGTTCTACCGTCCTAGGTCCCACAGTGCCAGATCCGAGGTCCGACGGTCCTAGGACCCCTGTCCTAGACCCCACAGTCCCGGGTCTCACAGTGAGGTTCCCCGTCTCAGATCCCACATTGTCAGGTCCCAAGTTCAACAGTCCCAGATTATACAGTCCCAGATTCCACAGTCCTAAGTCCCACAATGCAATCCCAGGTCTAACAGTCCCATATCTCACAGTCCCAGGTTCTACATACAGCCCTAAGACCCACAGTCCCAGGTGCCGCAGTATCACATCCGACAGTCCTAGGTCCCACAGTCTCAGGTCCCACAGTCCCAGATCCCATAGTCCCAGGTCCCATAGTCCCAGGTACGGTTCTCCAGTAAAAGTCTTGTTGGTTTTGCTTTTTCGGACATATCTGGTCCTATATAATGTTCAAATGCATAAGTATCAACCCGAATTATGTGTATGCACATTTACCTCGAGAATGTGAAATTGCATCGTTGTATGCCAAATACTTTCCGAGATATTCACCAAAAACCTCATTTTCTGCCGTTTGGGGTATTCTGGCCGCAATCTTCCTGGGATCGCCTATGACATCAGTATAACGAGAGGAACGCGGAAACATAGAATCATGAATGAATCGAGCGCGTAGTAAACGGTGTATGAAAGGGAGACTCGGTAGAGGCTATCCGGGTGGCCGGCGGGCGGCGCGCCCTTAGGCATCGGCTGACCCTTCGGACCGCGTGGGGTCAGAGGTCGCGCTCGGGAAGTCTCGGCTCTGGGTTTTAGCGCTGTGCAGTCAGGAAGGGAGGATAGGATTGCGCTAGCCCGACTGACTAGTATCTCGGCTGATTCGTGTGAGGTAGAAGGGGGCACAGAACGGAATGGTGGCTAGTGGTTGATGATGGGATGGCGGTTAGGTTAGTGCGTAGCTGAACATGCATTGTTTTTTTTTTCATGGCAAACAACATGCAGCATAATGTGCGGGATTATGCCAGAACTCATACAAAAAGGAAATAATATTTCGGCCGAGGGAGTAGATGAATGCCATGAGTCAGGACAAAGCATGACGATGCTGCCAAAATCGGGATACTTTTTTGAACCCATTTTTTACCCCTAACATGCAGCGCTTGATCCGAACTTAGAGGTCCCCGACTGACCTTAGACCTTAAAATCGCACCCGTCCGGTGCGCCACCTTTTCTTCAGGGGCGCTCTTCTTGGTTGTATCTGTTTTTACCAATAACTAAAGCAAATCGAATGCATAATAAAAAAGGCATACCTCGATCACAGTTTTATTCACACCCGCTTGTGTGCATACTTGTTTTGACCTATACCTTCTCACATCATAATATCACTTCAGTGCTTAACCCTCAACGGAATTTTGGGTTTTCTGCATATACCCTACCCCGGCCGAGGGGGGGGGGGGGCGATTACGACCCCTCTCCGTCTTTTTCCCATAATTGAGCTAGCGCCTTGCGGATAAAACTGAACGCGTGCGTCGTATGAAATGCAGCAACTGGTACCCGAGTTGAATGTCTCAGGTCAAACGATAAACTCTGAGGTCAGTATAAGTGCTCCAAGTCGCGGGATCGGTTTTTGGTAAACAACTTTACCACTTAAGTGGTTACAGAGCCAAGATAATGGCACCATCGAGTTTTGCATGCTCAGGCGCGTCGAATAGTATACGCTTTGTTTTTCGTAGAAGAATAACCGTAGGTATGCTCACTATCTTTTAACAATCCAAAATTAGCCTAAAATGAATGAATATATTTCGGAAACGTTCCTTCTTCAGTTCAAAAGTTTTAAAAAATACGAGATCAAAAGTTTTGAACTGAAGAAGGAACGTTTCCGAAATATATTCATTCATTTTAGGCTGATTTTGGATTGTTAAAAGATAGTGAGCATACGGTTATTCTTCTACGATATTCAATCATGCTGCTCATTCTAGTACTTCGCCACCTTATTACGCTTTGTTTTTGTTGAGGTCAATTTAAGGTGTTCACATCAGGTCATGGTCAGGGCAGAGCCACTCCGGCCACGAAGCTGGCCCAAGGAGGTCATATAGCTTCTTCGATTCGGTAGGTCCTCACAAGTCCACTGGTGGCTTCCCGACTCGCTAGCTCAATTTGATCGGGACTTTTTGGTGAAAACTCCTGTAACCTTAGTGACGTCATAAATTATGTCGCCTAACTTTAAGAATGGAAAAGTGAATGCTGGGGCTTGCAAAGGTTGTATAAAATCGCGAATTAATGCGCTTGAGACAGATTTAGATGGCTCCCGGCGCGAAAATAATAGCTTTCATATTTCCCAATTGATTAACCCGCGCCCGGCTGGGGGTCCTGGATTTCCACGCCCTGCTGGGGGGGGGGGGTGTTTGAACACCCCCCTTGTAACTCGGCTCCTGGGCCACGTAGCGATACGCGGAAGGCGGCGTTCGAAAGAGCGTCAAAAATAATGACGAAATCACTTCGGTCAATTTTTTGGTCAGGTCAAAGGTCAGGTCACCAGAGGTCATTGAAGGCAAAATTTCGCCGATTTCCAGGTCGAATGTCAAAAATTTCCAAGAAGCCAACGCATAACTCGGGAACCAATAGAGCTACAGCGCCGCGGAAAAGCGCATTCGATAGCCCTATTAACGCCCTTTCTGAGTAATTCTCTCAGATTTGACCTAACATCAACGGTTTTGCCTGCAGGGGGCAAAAACTGCAAAAATAGCCGATTTTTTCGGAAACAGTTTTTCTGCAATAACTTTTGACCCAAGCCCTGTACGAGCTTATTTTTACCGGCATCGTGTTCCTCTCGTCAAGACGCATCGAATGAACTATAACTTGACCTTGAAAGGTCAACTTGAAAATTTGACCTCAGGTCAAGGTCATGACCTGACCGGAAAGGGTCATGTTGCATATCAGTCGATCCGTATCGTCGAGCTGAACACATCTAAGGCGTTTTCATCGCTCTAGCATGCCTCTATCAAAAGTTATTTGCGAAAAACTATTAGATACCATTTGTGACCTAAGATGACCTCAGGGCATAAACAGGGGTCATGGACACCATTTTCATGTTCAGTGTGTCTAAACCACTTGTAATTCAGTGTTTGGGAGTGTTTATAATGTCTTTCGTCCAAAAAAGACGCATTTCAATTTTCTCCCATTGACTTATAATGGGGAGGTCGCAAAATTGACCTGACCTTAGGTCATCGATATCAAAATTCTGAGATATACATTTTGTACGTGCTATTGCTCTTAGCAATCGCTGAAAGTTTCAAAGCGATCGGTCACTCGGTGTAGCTATGACAGACATTGAAACTTTTTATGAGGTGAGGTCACTTCAAGTGACCTGGTGACCTGACCTTGAATGACCTTGGTCTGAAATTTTCACAACATGTGTAGAATTGATGTATGATAAGGTGTACCAAAAACGGCTATTCGCGAAAAACCACAAGGGGGGGTGTTCAAACACCCCCCCCCCCCCCCAGCAGGGCGCGGGTTAATAATCGTGAGGTTGCGTCACCGACCTGACTTCAGGTGACTCTGAAGAAAAATACGAGATAGCTACATACAAGTTGTGAGGCCTCTGGGAGATAGGTAGTACTAGATCATATAAGCTTCATTCCCCGTTGAAAAGTCCCCTGGCACTAAGGGTGCTGCGACGTCGAGACATTTTGGGACCTTACAGAGGTTCACTTTTGACGTCATTGGTCAACGGCCTGCAACCTTCGCACTTGTAGGAGGGTGTCGAACAGACCTCCTACCCTCAGTTTTTCGCAAATAAGGCTGATTGCGACGAAACTTTCAGTACCCTCGAGTTAGCCAATATTACGCCTACCCTATAATTTATATGACCCTGACTCAAAAGACCTTTGACTTGTGACCTGTCTTTCCGAGATCATGTTTGGCCGGAATCGCGTTTTGGCGTATTTCGAGTAGAGCGCGTTTTATTGTCTTTTTGTGGCTTTAAGCGATCAAACATGTGAAAGGATTTTGATCCCATGGATTCTAGTGGGTATCAAGGTCACGTGAAGGTCAGTCAGGTCACTGAACTTTGGTGACCTTCGTTCACTCTTGCGAGTTTTACATGTTCTAGGGTAGATTTTGGAGTTGATTTCACATTTAGAAACCGTTTGAACATTTAATAAGTAGTTTTGGTTCCCTCGTAACATGTGACCTGACCTGACCTGACCCGACCTGGCCTAAATGCACGAAAACATCATCTGTGATCAAAACTAACTTGAAATTCGTGATCAGCAGCCCGCAAAACCCTATAACAGCTTCACTTTACGAAGCTCTAACAGGTCCAGATTCCCCGACTTTTGAGTTATATTGACCTGTCAACCAATGACCTAGGACCTTAAAATTGGGTATTATCGGCCTCCTCTCGTCACGGGCAACACGCTCTTTTTCCGCGAAGCTCTAGCTCGATCAGGGGCTGAACGGCAAAGGGGTCCAACGGACCCTCCTCCCCCCCCCCTTTACGGTAGACGCTGGCAAAATACCAATATGGGCGAGGGTGAAAATACAGCTGCTGTCATACAAATTCAGCTTGAATCAAAGGTCAGGCTTGCCAAATTTCAGCTTTCGCAGCTATCAACAAAAATAAACATGTGGAGGCGGCACCCACCTCCCCGCCTCTCCCCCTCTCCTCTCGGCCACTGCCAGCGAGGTATTAAGCGTATCATACACGTTACAAGGCATCATATCAAGGTGACACACCCCAGCAGCCATATGCACTGAACAAAAACTATTACCCACGCTAGTCTAGTTATCGGCACTAGAGATGTCAATCGGATACCAACTTTTTGGTATATCGATACCAAACCGATAACAACTTGGTATTTGGTATTTGATTGGTTTGGTATTTTGGTTTGGTATTTTGTTGGTATCACAAACCCCCACTAATGTATAAGAGGCTAAGAAATCGGTAAAAAAGTTGGTATGTCCCTCATTTTCCCAAGTCGGTTTGGTTTCGGTATTTCCTCGCGGTTTTGGTTGGTATTTGGTTTGGTATCGGTATTCCGAATTTCCGTAATTGACATCACTAATCGGCACCATAGCACATGGTCGAGACTGTCGTCAGCCACGGACGCGCACTCGACCAACCCTCTGAGCCCGTTGGCTGCGGGTGACCTTGACATGTCAAGCCTGATCGGCGGCCGGCCGCTGTCGTGCGTCGTTACACGAGGAGGGGAGGGAGACACAAAGCTCTACGTTATAGCTGACCTCTGACCTTTCCCTGCGCCCTGGTCACTGACCCCGCTCCATGTCGCTGGGCGGTGGCATGGCGGTGGAAACCGGTTCTAGCCTCTACACATGCCACCATCCTAACCCTCCCCTCCCCACGCTACTACGCGGTGTGGAGTACGCTCGTGCGTAACTGGGCGGAGCAAGGGGTCACGCGATACAGGGGCGGAACTGGTTGCCCTCCCGCTCGCCGAGCGACCAACGACTAATACCCTGGAGAACCGTACCATAGTCCCAGGTCCCACAGTCTCAGGTCCCATAGTGTCAAGAGTCCCAGGCTCTTCCACTAGCTGCTGATAACGAGTTCCACTCTTCCACTAGCTGGGGCATTCCACGTCAAATCAAACACCGAAATCCGTCATCCCCTTCGATTTTTCTGCAAATTTGTAAGCAGACTGGGCATGGTTCAAAACTGAGTTACGTATAATATTTTCGAAATTTGATAACGTATCGCTGAGATATAGGTCATCGAATATAGCGAAAAATGCCACACATCAATTTTTTAAATGGCTATAACTCTGGTTCCTTTTCTGGTATCAAAATGATATTAACAGGGTCTTATAGGCAATTGATAAGGCTTTGATTTTTAATAATAAAATTAAATTGAAGTGACCTTGAAATGCTTTTGACCTTGAATTAAAACAGAAAAATTTAAATAGCAAAAAACACGTCACCTTCGATTTGGCTAATTTTTACATATTATGTCCGTCACAATGTTCCTAACCATCTGTGAAAAAATTGGAGTGGGCCATTCATAACTTTCGCGGCAAACGCCGTTTTCATGCATCAACATCACGCAACCGCGCGTGACCTTGAAAGACAGAGTCAAGACATGCTTGCTTGTGTACACTTTCTGAAATGAATGATTGCTGATTAGTGATATCCTAAACTCTGCGAGAATGGAAATGCATAGTCATCGTAGTCAAGCATTCACGTTCCATAGTAAAAGTGTCTCAGGCAAACGGTATTGAATTTTGAGCCGTGTGGAAATGCATCATGAAGTAAATTCAACGAAAACATTATCACGCAACGATATCTTCACGTCTTTTGATCTTCACTATACGAAAGAACATACATTTTATAGTATGTATGGGGAATTTCTAGTTAATCCAATAATAAATATGGCAGTTAAAGGCCTGCTAAGAGTAACATGTCGCCGGCTGCAAGGCGGGCTCGGCCGATGCGGGAAATGCAGCAATCACAATTTTCTGTTTACACGTTCATATTTCAATTGTTTACCAACCGATTTTCAAATTCTTTCACCATAAGATTGCCTGTACATTTCTTAGTCTTCTCACAAAATTGGACGCGAATCGAACGAAATCAGCGGTAGGGAGCGCGATGTAAAGACGGAACCGTTCCGTTCCGTCCCGGCACAGTCTACAATTCAGGCGGCGCGTAGCGGTCGGCGCCGGCTGCCGAGTCGCCGCGTCGCTGCGGCGACAGGATGTTCACTTTACACCGCTATTACTAGAACAGTTGTGAACCGATTTTCTTATTGCTTGCACGATGAGATGTCCAATTCAATTCTTGACAGGTAGCCATAATTAATTTCGCATTAATCTTATGAGATATTGGCGAAAAACAGGAGGGGTGGGCGAAATTCGCTCTTCCTCCTCCACTGCGCGTGCTAACATACGTTTGCATATGTGCAATTTTCTTCAAAACTTATGAATGGCCCACTCTAATTTTTTCACAGGTTGTTAAGAATATGGTAGGCAATAAAATATATGAAAATGAGCCAAATCGAAGGTGACGTGTTTTTTGCTATTTCGATATTTGTGCTTAAGAACAGAGTTAAGCAAATTTCAAGGTCATATATTTAAGTAGGTGCAATTCTAAACAAATGTTTAAGAAATTACCTAAACAGTAAGGGTTATTTCATTCAAATCAAACAAGTACAACCAAAGTTATGGTCGTTCAAAAATATAAAGATGCAACATTTTGTAAAAATTTGATGCCCTATATTTAGAAGACCTGTGGTCAGAATGTGCAAAAAACATCAATGTAATGTCCGGGGCCACACAGGAACTCGCTCACAAATTTATAATGAAATCGCTGATGGTAAGGTGCAAAACAGCCGATTTTTGTTCGATTTGACGTGGAATGCCCCAGCTGCTGATGCTGATAGCTGATAACGAGTCTGAGCCCCCAATGGTTAGCCCAAGTCTGTGCACTGTGCAGTGTCAGCTCACCAGGCACAATTGCACCAGACGGGACAGCGGACGCTGTCGCAATAGCACTCTCGGCTAAATCGAATTTCCAATTATCGGGTAATGATGTTGAGCGTTTAGCTGGGCTGGGCGGCGCCGGCGCCCCAGGGTTACCCGGCCGCCGGCTGCCGCTGAGCGCTGGAGGTCCACTGCTCGTTAACCGCCGCGGCCGCTCAGTTGTTTTTCCGCCCGAGCTCTGGTCAGTCGGAGCGCTGTACCGTGACGAGCTCACCTGACCGGGCGGCGGGCGGCGGCCGGCGCGAGGCGCGTGCCCGGACGTAGCGTGCAGGTGTAGTATTGACTCCTCCGCCGGCGCCACCCGCCGGGCGCCGGGCGCCGGGCGCCGCGGCTGGCACCGACAGGTCGATAGCACGCACTGGGCCGACCCCACTGACTCCGGCCGGGTCACAGGGATGGTCACAGGACTGACCCGAGGTCAGGTCACAGAGCTGACCCTCTAACTGGGTCACAGGGCTGACCCTCTAACTGGGTCAGAGGACTGACCCGAGGTCAGGTCACAGAACTGACTCTGACCGGGTCACAGGGCTGACCCGAGGTCAGGTTACAGGGCTGACCCGAGGTCAGGTCACAGAGCTGGCCCTGGCTGGGTCACATGGCTAACTCGAGGTCAGGTCACAGAGCTGGCCCTGGCTGGGACACAGGGCTAACTCGAGGTCAGGTCACAGAGCTGGCCCTGGCTGGGTCGCAGGGCTTGTCCTGGATTGGGTCACATAACTGATACGAGGTCAGGTTTCAGAGCTGACCTTGACCTGGTCACAAAACTAACCCATGACTGGGTGACGGGATTCACCCATATCTGGTTTTGACATATCTGACTCGAGATCAGGTCCCAGACCTGACCCGAGGTCACGTTTCAGACCTGACTCGAGATCAGGTCCCAGAGCTGACCGGAGGTCAGTCCCAGAGCTGACCTTGGCCGGGTCACAGAGCTGCCACTGGGACGGACCACACTTCACAGAAGCCCTGGCAGGGTCACTGTCGGTGGGACCGCCCCGCGACACTGGGGCACTGAGAGGACTAGTCGCAGAAGGGACCTTAGATGGCTTCATGTCACCGACCATGGACCAATTGACCGTAGGTCGTACTTTTATAAAGGTAGGGTTGGCCTTACTCGTAGAGTGGGCCCCACATCTGACCCTGGTCGAGTCACAGGTCGTCGGACGAGTCGAACGACTGAGTTGACTGAGTCACAGGGCTGTTTGTGTGTGTCACGTGGCTAAAAAAAACTAACTTACCCTGATCAGTGCAGATGACAGCTTATGTAGTGTCGCCGAAGTCACCCTGATCATTGATCAATTCTGGTGGGTCGGGAGCTCGCTGTTCTGTGCTGTGTTACACACGGTACCCACTACCCAGGTCTCAGATCACAGTATGCTGCGGGGTTCGTCAGATGTATGTTGCTGACGGGTCAGGGCCGGGACAGGTCAGAAGGTAGGTACTCTTTTCCGACATCTGACCGCCGCATGTCCCCTTTCAGCTAACGGTCGGCCGGCGCGCGGCACGTGACCAAGATGGCCGCCTTCGTGGCGAAACAGATGATGGGCAGTCAGCTGAAGGCCGTCAAAGGTGGGTTCGAGGCGGGGATGGATGTCGGGGGCAGCTGTAGGCAGTTCTCGGAATCCCTCGGAAAAGTCGCACAGTGTTCCCCAAAAGATTATGGCAATAGCGCATTACCACGGGGGTCTTCGCCCCCCCCCCCCTCCCCGGGGCGCCGGCTAATGCAATGAAGTCTTTATGCACCCATCCTTCAGTAAACGGAAAAAGAGTACCTATCCAGAGCTTATATACCTACTCGTCGTAACTGTTTCATTGTTCTGACGGCCGGGCCAATAGGTTCTATATTTAGATGCATCGTTGAGTAATTAATAATGCCAGGATATTGGATAATGCATCTTATTCAACCGATAACCGATCTTGAACAACCTTGCTTACTTCCTAGTTCCTTCCATAAGTGCAGGCTGCTATTGGTGGTTTTTTATGGACCATTGGACCATATTATAAGCTAGTGACAGCTAATATATTTCCACCGCCGTGAATAACCCTAAGGAAACAAAGACTAACAGCTCGTGACAGCTATTGGTATCGACTGAACGCGTTGTCGAGCTGCCGCTATTATTCTGACTATCCCGCCGGTAGGTATTCGATGCCCATAGTCTGATGTAGGAGCGCACTCGAGCTGGTATTCAGAATATGGATGTTCACCTTGGGGCTGCGGTCTCGGCTGCGTTAGTGTAGGACCTCTGTCGCCGTCTGCCGGCTAATCACCACCGATCGCGCTGCTGCGAACCACGGGCTTCGCTGGCTCCTGTCGCCTCCCCCTTAGACCCCTATCGGCGCCGTCCCCCCCCCCCCCCCCGACCCCTGTCGGCCGGGGCGCGATATGACGTGCCGCCGGCCCGTCCGTGGGCCGATGTCGCCGCCGGTCCGACTACGGGCCGATGACGGTTTGCCGGGCCGACGGCGGGCCGATGACGGTTTGTCGGGCCGATGGCGGGCCGATGACGGTTTGTCGGGCTGGTGGCGGGTCGCCGGGGACGCCGGGGACCGCCCGGGCCGACCGTCCTGGAGGGCGGCCAGAATCGATGGCCGCCCCGGGGCGGGCGGGCGCTGTAGGCAGGGCCGCTCGCTGTGGAGACCGTACAGTCCCTCCCGCAGCGGCCAGCACTCAAACAGAATCAGGCCACTCCGGGTCTTAGCAAAGGATTCACAAATCACAGGTCCAGAAAAGGCTTCAGTAATATGTAGGGGCATGATTTTGAAATATTAAATTTGACATATAGATGTCATCAGTGACCTACTGCATGTGACAGCACTTTGAGCCACATTCCTACTTACGCAACGTGCAAGGAATTTACGCGGTCTGAATCTGGGCGTGCCTATTGAGGTCTGCAACACACGCCCTCGGTTACAGAGTGCGATTGGCGGCGTTGAGCAGGTCAGGTCCTGCTGGCTTTATTGCTGCATCTGACGTGGCGGGGTAGGTCAGCACTACATATGTGCCGCCGGCCGGGCGGCTGCAGTGCTGGCACCGGCTGTCTGACACCAGCTGTGAGCTGGTGTGGTTCGTGTGGCACTGCGCGATCGTAAGGGCAAGGGGCAAGGGCAATTTGCAATTTCCAATTCTACAATGTATCTAAATTGCACGTATTTATGGCGTATTTCTGAATGTTTTTTTTAATCAAATTATCGTATGAAAATGCAACATCGACCAGCATTTCTGAGGCGTGGGACAACATGCTGTCCAATGTCAGCCCTGGCTTATATCTGCCATCTGCTTTTGTTGGCCCGCCATCCGCTGATGTTGTTCCGAGCTCCGGATTATGATGTAAATCTCTTCTGTAAATCATGTACAGGAAACATCTGCCAGCCCTTGTGCCAATAGATAATTTAATAAATTTAACCCTGGCTTTTAACAAAGGCGCCGCGCGCGTCGAGCCTTTGCCTTCGATGTTTTTATGAGACAGCCGCGGTGAAATTTATCGAATTTCCCCGGCTCCGACCACGAAAATGTGTATTGTGTATCTTCAGACCGAGACAAAATCAGCTTGCAGGCATATAGATATAAGCCTCATTATTTCATTGGATCTGCAGTTAATCTGAAGATCGGCTGCCTTTAGTGTCAGACTGGCTCACCATTAAATACCTACTTTAATGGGGGATAAAAATGAATGCTAAAACTTATCATGTGTGCATTCAAATAAGGATGAAATACCATAGTCAAACAAACTATATTGTAACAAACCAGCAACCCACGAAGATTAAGCCTTAAGACATAAAAAGACATAAAGGGAGGCCAGAGAAGAGTGGCATTGGGGGCGAGCTGAAAATTAGTGGACGCAAACTGCATAAGTGCATAACTGCACTCACTTGGCTATCCGAGTGAGTCCGGTCTAGTGCAGGTCCAATATAAGTGCACGTCCAGTATGGTGCAGGTTCAGTACAGTGCAGGTCCGGTACAGTCAAATATATGTAGTCAGCTTCAGTACAGTGCAGGTCCGGTACAGTCAAATATATGTAGTCAGCTTCAGTACAGTGCAGGTCCGGTACCGTGCAGGTCCAATACAGGGCAGTCTCAATATACATAAGTGCAGGTTCTGTACAGTGCAGGGCCAATATATGTAGAGCAGGTTCGGTACAGTGCAGGTCCAATATATGTTGAGAAGGTTCAGTACAGTGCAGGTCCGGCACAGTGCAGGTCCAATATATGTAGAACAGGTTCGGAACTCAGTACAGTGCAGGTCCGATATATGTGGAGCAGGTTCAGTACAGTGCAGGTCCGATATATGTGGAGCAGGTTCAGTACAGTGCAGGTCCGATATATGTGGAGCAGGTTCAGTACAGTGCAGGTCCGGCACAGTGCAGGTCCGGTACAGTGTTCCAGATACGGTGGTCCAGGTGCAGTGGTCCAGCTGCAGTGGTCCAGGAGCGGTGGTCCAGGTGCGGTGGTCCAGGAGCGGTGGTCTGAGCTCAGTAGTTCGGTGTACTAACGTTGGAATGACAGTGGTTCTATGAACTAGGTAAAGTAATAGAATGCATTGCCGCTTAGGTAAGTACCGTGTTTCGGAAACATCGGTTTGGCTGGTTTGGATGCATTTGCTCTTGTTATGTGGCTCTTGTGAAGTGCAGTGAGAGGCCCTTGAGAATGACGCAGATGCGGTTTGGTCTGGTCGGTGCACGTTCAGCAGTCAGACTGGTTGGTATCGGTGTCTCCGCACGCGTACGGGCTCTGCCTGCAAGGCTTGGGTGCGCCACCCGGGTGCTGTGCTAACTAGTGTGGGGCTGCTTGTTTAGGTGGAGGTCCTTATCCAGTACTGAGGTGAATTATTTACTTGTCGCAGCTCTCGCCGCTCGGCCCATTTATTGGAAACAATAGGCCTCGGCCTGAGTTCCAGTGGGCGCTCGAGTTCCTGCGTCTGAGTGCCGGGCCCAGGTCCTGGGTCCTGACGGTCGGATCTCCGATCCCCGGCCCGCTAATGATGTCCGTGAGTCGTGGGTCCAGGCGCCGCCTCTCAGATCGGTGTCCGTGAGTCGGGTCTAGGCGCCGCCTCTCGGCTTTCTGTCCGTGAGTCTCGGCCCGTGTCCGTGAGTCGCGGCTCGTGTCCGTGTGTCTCGGCACGCACAGGCCGTGCGCGCCGGCCGCCGATTTCGTCGCACACATTCATGTTTGATGCGTGGATCGATGGCTCAGCCGACGGTGCCGGCGGCGGCGGCGGCGGCGGCGGCGGGCCGGGCGGCCAGTCGTCCACGGCCCGCCATGGCTCAGGTACGTCCCGTCCCGTCCGCGTCCCGTCCCGTTCCAGACTGTCCCGTCTGTCCCAGCTGGGGCCGACTGGAGACTTGTTTGTTGGGGACGGTGACTGTGCCGGCTTATTTCGAGGTGTCCTCGTCGTGTGACTCCGCCGGAGCTGTAAGGTTGTGACAGCTGTGACCATGCGAGCTGGTGCTGGTGTCTGGTGATGCTAGTACCGTTGTCCGGTGGTGTTGCCGTAGTGCACAAACTCAGCGTAGAATGGTGTTCTGGTGGTGTGGGAGCTGTGCGGTGTGTGTTTCCTCGGTTTGGCGGTCTGTTGTGTGAGGCAGAGTACATTTATTAATTGGTCGTGAGTGTGCTCTTCATTTTCCTCCATAGCACAGCGTTCTGTTCTTGCTTTATGCATGCATTTGTTGGAAGTTGTGAGCTTCTGTGACTGCGTGTGTTCGGTGTGTGCGTGCTTCTGGAGTGTGCGTGGATGCGTGCGTGGGCGATACTTAAGTTAACAATAGACAAACAGCTGAATCGTAATATGCACTGAATGCCCGCTCAATATAAATCGATTAACTGCTGAGAAATAACTGGTCGAGTAACTGGCGCGCTGGAATCAAATGCCCATTGAAGACATGGCAGGAATGCTCTTGCAGAATACATTGGATCACTTGTTCCATAGGCGTCGCCAGACATTTTCGTTTGGGGGGGGGGGCAAAATCAAGTTTTGTGTTAAATCTTGCCTTTCCCCAGCCGTTACTCACTCGTTTTACATATCATTCGACGCGCAATGGTGCGAGGAATCCGATGGTGACAAAGTTTTCCTTCTAGCTATAGCATGTATTTTTTTAACAAAAAAATCAAAATTTTGAAATTTCTGGACAAAAACGACCGTTAGAATTACAGTGGCTGCGATTGCCGACGCACTGCAGAGGGCCCCTGTGCAGACTCTCGTCGCTCATGATCACCACCCAGAAGAAGGTGAAAAACGCTCCATTTGAATCGGATCACCTCGCTAAAACCTCCATTCACACATGCATGCCGAGGTTTTACGTGAAATGCATAGGGCTTATCCCAGCCGCCGATTGTAGCTAAAAATTGGGCATTCAGCGAAGACTGAGAGAGAATGTCGGAAGTGTGAATCGGAAGTACATCATTCATCCTTGCTGCAGTGAGAAGAAGTGTTTTGTTCACTCGAGTGTGAACAAAAAGTTTCTGGTTTTTCGAGTGAAGGGAAGCGCTGCAAACGAGACCAAAAATATTTAACGGAACCAAAAGTTACGCACGGCATAGCGGCAAGGGATCCCTTAGAGATAGGATTGCG